TTACGTACCCTTGTGACCTCTGTTTCCATTATCCTCTTCCATCATTTCTATCACTCCAGAAATTTCTCTTTTGCCTCATTTATATTTAGTCCCTAATCTCAACTCTCCAAACCCTCCAGCACTGAGGGAAACCAGTATCTCATACCTCCCTGCCTCTCTCTCTAATCTGTCCTAACCCTGCACCCTGGGAATTTTAGGCCATCTTGCTCTAAACCTGCTTTCTTCTCTGTCACATGCTTGCTTTTATTTCTTTACCCCTGGTAAATTCAGCCGACGTTCCCTAAGACTCCTTCTCCAGGGCTCAGAGCGATAGTACCATGGGGAGGGCACTTGCCTTGCATGCAGCCAACCTGGATTCGATTCCAGGCATTACATACACTCCCTGAGCCTGCTAGGAGTGATTCCTGAATTTGGAGCTAGGAGTAACCCCCAAGCAGTGGGTGTGGCTCATTGTGTGGCCGCCAAACAAACAAACAAACAAACAACTACAACAACAGATTCATCCTCCAAAAGATAAGTAATCAGGAACTACACAGAACTGAAAAGCAGAATATAAAGAGAATATAAATAGAATGGAAAGACAACCTACTGAATGAGGAAATATTTGCGTATTATACCAGTGATAAAGGTTTACTTGTTGAGGTCTATCAAAACTCAAGAGCAACAAACCAAAAAACCAATTTAAAATGGACACTAGAGGTCAGAGTATCATTGGTAAAGTGGGTAGGGTGCTTGCCTTGCACGTGATTGACCTGGGTTTGATCCCAGGTATCTCATATGGTCCCCTGAGCACTGCCAGGCGTAATTTCTGAATGCAGAGCCAAGAGTACACCCTGAGAACAACTGAGTATGCCCGCCCCCACCCCCTCCACAAAACCAAAGGGCAGTAGTGGTTTTTCACTACTCCAAAAAGGACCTAATGATGACGACCAATAAGCTCCTGGAAGCTGTTCAGCTTCAATTATTACCAACAAATGCAAATCAAAGACCACATTAGATACCACTTCCACCTATGAGAATGACTTCCTTCAAAAGGAAAAATGTTATCTAGAATGTAGAGAAAAGGCAATGTAACTGTTGCTGGGAGGAGTGTGTATTGGAGCAGCATTTTGGTAAATAGCATGCAACTTCCTCAAGTAGCTAAAAATAGGTCCATGGACCAATCCAGCATTCTTACTTCTGGGCATGAAAACATCAACATGTAAAGATTTATCTCCCTCTCTGTTCTCTGAGCATTAATTGCAGTGTACAGTGATGGAAAGAACTGTAGTGCCCATTGCTAGTTGATCGGAAAATTAAGACGTGGGCCACATACAGACACTAAGACAGAAGAACTTTGCCATTTGCAGACAAATAAAAGCAACTCAAGGGGATAATCACTGTATCACTGTCATCCCATCGTTCATCGTTTTACTCGAGAGGGCACCAGTAACGTCTCCATTGTCCCAGCCCTGAGATTTTAGCAGCCTCTCCTTACTCGTCTTTCTCAACACTGCCATATTGGAGGCTCTTTCAGGATCAGGCGAATGAGACCTGTCATTGTTACTGTTTTTGGCATATTGAATATGCCACAGGTAGCTTGCCAGGCTGCCGAAGGGGATAATATGAAATAAAATTAGCCATGAGAAAAGAGACAAGTGCTGGGTAATTTCATCTCTCTGTACACAAAAAAGCAGAGAAATGATTTTACCAAAGAGGAAGACAGTGGGGTGGGCAAACAGCCACTGTAGCACAAGGAAGGGCGATGGGATTTATTTGTTGCTTTAAAAAAAATTCGTTGGGGCTGGAGTTATAGTATAGCGGGTAGGATGTGTTTCCTTCACGCAGCCGAGTTGGGTTTGATCCGTGGTTCCTTATATGGTCCTCTGAGTACTGCCAGGAGTCATCCCCAAGTGTGGAACCAGGAGTAAGCTCTGAGCATTACCGAGTACGGCCCCAAACCCAAAACACAAACACAGAAAGACTTCCTGGAAAATTATTGGTGTTCACAAATGTTAATTAAATTAACATTTTGGTTCAAGAGATAGCACAGCGGGTAGGGTGTTTGCCTTGCATGCAGCCGACCTGGGTTCGATTCCCAGCATCCCCTATGGTTCCTTGAGCACTGCCAGGAGTAATTCCTGAGTACAGAGCCAGGAGTAACCCTTTTGTATTGCTGGGTATGACCCAAAAACAAAAACAAAAAAAAAAACAAAAAAAAAAAAACAAGGTTAATACCCTCGCCAGCTCATCTAAGCTTTCTGATCTCACGGGCAACTGGGTCAGCAGTGCTCAGTAGCCCTGCTCCATGTGTGTGCGTGAGTGTGTCTGTGTATTTGTGTGTGTGTGTGTGTAAGTGTGTTTTCTATGAAGCAAAACGTCTTGTATATTTGCCTCTTTCTTTTTTTTTTCCAGAACAATTTGTTTTCTCACCCTTGATCTCAGGACAGTCTCCAAGTGTCTTTCTGCTAAGGGTTGGTGGAATGAAGGAGTACAAAACTGGATGGGACTGCCTAGTTTATCTGCTCCAGAATTTTCCAGTATGTGTTCTGTATATCACAAGGCTCTCCAAACAATGCTCCAGGAAAATAGGAATATTCTAGGCTTTTCTTTGGTCTCAGCTCACACTGGGGACATACTTTTTGGGGACATACTTTTTGCCTGGCAGCATCTGTACGAGGTCTTCTGTAGGGCTCCCAGAGAGTGGGGGCAGCTGGCTGGGGGTTGGGCACTCAGAATCACATTCCATAAAAAGGCTTCAAAGGGGACCAACCTTGCACCCTTTATTTATTTATTGGTTTTTGGGGTTACACCCAGCGATGATCAGGGGCTACTTCTGGCTCTGCACTCAGGAGTTACTCCTGACATTGCCCAGGGGACCATATGGGATGCCAGGGATCAAAGCTGGATCTCCCATATGCGAGGCAAACACCCTACCTGTGGTACTATAGCTCTGGATCCCCTAAATACCCATTACAATGGTAGATCAGAGTCAGTGTTGGAAGGTGTATGTACACACAAAAGCATGCGTTTTTTTTCCTTTTCTCTGTCTCTGTCTCTGTCTCTGTCTCTGTCTCTGTCTCTGTCTCTCTCTCTCTCTCTCTCTCTCTCTCTCTCTCTTTTTGTTTGGTCATACCCCGGGGTGGTCAGGTGCTCCTGGCTCTGTGTTCAGGCATCAGTCACTGGTGCTCGGGGAACCGTTCTTGAAAGGATCAATCCAGGGCCTCCTGTGTGCCCTGCCCAGTGCCTAAGTAGCCATGGTCCTTACCCGATTCTCAGGGCTCAGTGTGGTCAACTCGCTGGTGGAACTGCTGATGGAATGTGGCCTGGCTGGGCTTCAGCCCCAGGAGCCCTCTCTTTCTTCTGCCAGTGCAAACATTTACCTGCTACAATCCCCAGCCACCCCCTGTAAAACCCATTCAGACCATGACTTAGGGGCTCCTGCTGAGGACCAGAGAAATAACAGACTCGCCCAGACCCCCACCCTGCCTTTCTAGTCTTTCTTTGAAAACATTTCACCAATTCCTATTATTATTATTATTGACTGTTATTCTTAATAATAATCAAGAATTATTATTAAGGGCTGGAGCGATAATAATTAAAATTTATTATTATTAAGGGCTGGAGCACAGCGGTAGGGCATTTGCCTTGCATGCAGCCACAGCCAGCGCGGCTGAGCCGGGTTCAATTCCTCCGCCCTGTCTCGGAGAGCCCAGCAAGCTACCAAGAATATCTCGGAGTATCTCTCCCTGAGGCAAAGCCTGGCAAGCTCCCCGTGATGTATTCATATGCCAAACACAGTAACAAGTCTCACAATGAAGACGTTACTGGGCCCGCTTGAGCAAATTGACCAACAACAGGAGGACAGTGCTGCAGTGCAGTGTGAGCTACACTTATTATTCTTTTATTATTATTCTTTTTAGCTGCCTACTCCCACCCCCGCGGTGGCATATTCGTGAGGGCCCACAACTGTGTTACACATTTCTGCTCCAAATGGTAGTGCGATGCTGCTTCTGTTGGGTATTTTTAATCTCCTTTTTATTTTTCACCCTTCTAGATTAAAAATAAAAAAAAAAATCGAGGCATAGAGAGTGTTAAGGAACTTGGCCAGGACTGCCCTGCTGGCGGGCTGGCAGGGGAAAGCCCGCGTTTGGAGCGCTCCTCAGCCAGGCTGTTTTGTCTCGCTTCTGTCCCTAACCCCGCCGCTGGGTTTGGGGGGGCTCCCGCCTGGCTGTCCTGTGTGTGTGTGTGTGTGTGTGTGTGTGTGTGTGTGTTGGGGGGGTCCCGTCTGGCTGTCCTGGCTCTGTGTGTGTGTGTGTGTGTATGTGTTGGGGGGATGTTCCACCTGGCTGTCCTCTGTTTTGTGTGTGTGTGTGTGTGTGTGTGTGTGTGTGTTGGGGAGGCATCCTGCTGACTGTCCTCTGTTGTGTGTGTGTGTGTGTGTGTGTGTGTTGGGGAGGCATCCTGCTGACTGTCCTCTGTTGTGTGTGTGTGTGTGTGTGTGTGTGTTGGGGGGGTCCCGTCTGGCTGTCCTGGCTCTGTGTGTGTGTGTGTGTGTGTGTGTATGTGTTGGGGGGATGTCCCACCTGGCTGTCCTCTGTTTTGTGTGTGTGTGTGTGTGTGTGTGTTGGGGAGGCATCCTGCTGACTGTCCTCTGTTGTGTGTGTGTGTGTGTGTGTGTGTGTGTGTTGGGGAGGCATCCTGCTGACTGTCCTCTGGTGTGTGTGTGTGTGTGTGTGTGTGTGTTGGGGAGGCATCCTGTTGGCTGTCCTGCGGTGTGTGTATGTGGGGGGGGGGCGCTTGGCTGGCCTGGCTCTGTCTGTGTGTGTGTATGTGTGTGTGTGTTGGGGGGGGTTGTGTGTGTGTGGGGGGGGGGGTCCCGCCGAGCCCGCCGCCGCCCCCTGGCGGCAGCGGGGCAGCAGCGCAGCGTATGCTAATGAGCCTGCGGCGCGGCTCGCTGATTGGCCGGCGCGGAGCCGGCGGCTTCCCCGGGGCGGGCGCCGAGTAGAGGGGCCCCGCAGGCGGCGGCGCTGGACCCGGCGCCTCCCCGGGCACGGCAGGGCGTGTGCGGGCCGCGCTGGCGCTGCCCCCGGCGGGCTCCCCCTGCCCTGTCGCTCCCCAGTCCGCCGCTGCACCCAGCATCCCGGGGCCAGGATGACTATCCGGCACCAAGGCCAGCAGTACAGGCCGAGGATGGCATTTCTGCAGAAGGTGAGACCTGCGGGCGGGAGCGGGGTCCCCGCACCTGGGCCTGGGGTAGGGGCGCGCGCGGAGTCCCCGATCCGGCAGGTGCTGGAGGAGATGCTGGCGGGGGGCATGCGGGCAGGAGCGCGGGGCACCCCCGGGGGCCCCCCGAGGCCGCTCCGTGCAGACTTTTCTGCCCGTGCGTGTTTTTCTTCTCTTGCCAGGATACTGATTTAGGTTTCCATGACACCTGTTCCCAGCGCTGCGGGGGACACAGGGCCACGGGCTGCCCCCTGAGGCTGGGAACAACCTGTAACTCGGAGCAGGGGGCGAGGGAGTCAGGAGGGAGGTGTCCCCCCACCCCCCTCCCCCCTCCCCGGGACGGAGCCCTTCGGCCGCCGGCTGCTGGTGCTGCTCTGACACCCAGATGCCCAATGACCATTTGGGTCCTTGTTATCCTCCCCCGGGGCCCCAACTCCAATATTGTCAAGTAAGTGGGTGTGTGTGTGAGTGCGGCCACGGAGACCTCCGTGAATGGTGGGGTCCGCAGGATAAGGGGCCTTAGCTGGGTGTCTGTTTATGTCTGGTGTCTGCTGGACAGGTCAGATTCTCGTCCCTTCCGGAGCAGACGCTTTTCCCCCCAGCATGCAAGGGGAGGGGGTCTCGGCATGCGGGAAGGGGTCCCCGCCTGCAGGCACAGGTGGTATATCTGGGCGGTGGGGAGGGGCTGCAGAGAAAGCGGCTTTTTTGTTCTGGGCATCTGAGTGAGCAGAGAGGGAGGGGAAGGAGAGGGGGATTAGGTCCCAGCTTGCCCTGTTCCCTCCCTGCCCTCTTCCCCTCTTCTCAGCCTCCTTGCTGTGTGTGTGTGGGGGGGGGGAGAATGGGGGGGCTCAGAGCTCTCAGATCCGGTTGAGGAGACTTAGCCAATGACCAGTGACAGGCTGAGCCCTGCCCCAAGTCACATCCAGGTATCCTGGGACTGTCGCCCATGTTCCAGGCCCCTGGTGCTAAGGGTGGCCCTCGGCCGTCCACTCTGATCTGGAATCTAGACTCCTGGCCCCCAGGGGAGCGATCTGAGGGGCCCCAGGGTGCCACCGCCTGCCCACCCACAGCACCCCCTGCCTCCCTGGTGTTCGTTTTAGAAGCTGGACTGTCCTTCTGAGTCTGCGGTCGAGCTGTTTCCCCTTCTCTCGCTCTCTGGAAGGCAGCCTGGCTCCTGCCTCACCTGCACCCCTTCTCTCTCTTCCCCCAGAGCCCCACCACCACCCTGTGTCACCTCCTGCACCTTGTGTTCCCACCTTACTCCAGCCAACCTTCTCCTCCTTGCTATGCTCCACAAAACCCTCCATAAAGAAACGGGACTCCTTCTCCGAATGGGGGTGGGGGTTCTCCGAACCCCTTCTCGGGCACCCCTTGCTCACAGAATAAGGTCCAGCCCCTCCCTTTCACACCTGTGCCCAGGGAAATCCACCAGCTGAGGTGCCCTCTGTCTACTCCGACTCTGCCCTCTTCTAAGGCCCCCCCCCCACTCCTTCAGCACCCCCTGTAGGGATGGAGCAGGTTTCATCCTGCACCCCACGGGGGGTACTTCCTCTCTGCTGATTCCCTGCACTCCCACGCCCGTCCACTTTGACCCAGACAGAATCTGGACTCCTGGCCCCCGGAGAGCGGACCCCCCTTGCACCCCCACACCCTGGGCTCAGACCATAGAGCCCCCGAGGGCAGGAGTGAGTGCCATGGGGTCTGCGAGCAGGGGTCTTCCTGGCGAGCCTGCCGCCCAGTCTCATGGGGAGCACCCCATCAAAGGGATGTGGCCTGGTCCCACACCCTCACAGTCCTGAGCTCACCTGTCCACGCACGTTTGAGGAGAAGGGAAAGTAGAGCCCAGAGAGGTTCATCACCTGCCCCGTGTCACAGAGCCACTGCATGGTGGAATCAGGGAACCAGGGGACCGACCACCGTCTTTCAGTGTGATATGCACTCCTGTCTGTCCAGCAACGTGGGGGGGGGGGGGGGGGGAAGAGGTGGGTGAAGGCTGAGGGCTATGGATGGGTTTAGGGGTCATGGGCCCCAGAACTGAAGGCTGAGTGGGGGTTTGAGAGGAGAGACAGATGTGCCAGGCAGAGGGAAGGGCGCATGTGCTAAGGCCCAAGGGCCTGAGGGGTCTGGAAGCAAGGATAGAGTTTGCATGCAAATGGGGGGCGCTGGGCAGGCAGGGGCTGAGCTGCAGGTGGCAGTGGGGGTCCCCAGGCTCTTGGAACCTTTGCAACCTGGTAGGTTGTAGGGAGACAGAGGTCTTTGGAATAGCCACATGATGTGGTAGATTTGCAAATCAAAAGGAGTACTGGTGTGAGGGGAAGGATGGGAGTCCCCCAGCATTCCCTCATGGCCCGACAACCCTGGCCACTCGACAAGGCTGGCTCTGGTCTTTCCTGTGCCATGGGACAGCCTGACTCACCCCAGCCCCAGCAGCCCCCAGCTGAGCAGCCACCCCCAGGCCCCCTCGCCTTCCCCCTTACCCCCTCACCTGGGCTTGTCAAGTGTGATGGGAAGGGTGGAGAGCCTTTTGTGGGCAAGAGGAGGCAGCTCCTGGCACAGAGAGCCCCCTGCAGGGGCCCATGCCCACAGCTGTTATTTCAGGGTCCACCCCACCCTGTGAGTTCCAGGTCACCATCCCTGCCATGCCCCCAGCCCCCCCTTTTTTCCCTTTGGGTCACACCTGGCAATGCACAGGGGTTACTCCTGGCTCACACACTCAGGAATTACTCCTGGTGGTGCTCAGGGGACCATATGGGATGCTGGGAATCGAACCCGGATCGGTCGTGTGCCAGGCAAATGCCCTCCCCGCTGTGCTATCGCGCCAGCCCCCTGACCTCAGCCCTTGACATCCCCCCAGGTCAGAAATGGATGGGAATCTCGCAGAGGGGCCTTCTGGTCGACCTCTCTGCTCTCCCAGAGGCTTCTGGTATCTTCGTGGACCTGGGATGGGTGAACAGATGCAGAAATAGCAGGAGGTTAGCAGGGGCTGGAGCGACAGTTCAGCAGGGAGGACATTTGCCTTGCATGTGGCCGACCTGGGTTCCATCCGTGGCACCCCTGAGCACCGCCAGAAGTGATTCCTGAGCGCAGAGCCAGGAGGAACCCCTGAGCATTGCTGGGTGTGATCCCAAAGGGGGAAAAAAAAAAGAAAAAGAGCAAAGAAGGAGATCAGTGGACATTAGTAGCGTCCACTCATCCCCTGCTCATGCATCCCTGTGTGGGGGGCTGGCACCTGTGGGAATGAAAACTCAGGCCTCCCCGTCCTCCCAAAAAGGCACCCTGCACCCAAGGAGAGTTTGACCCCGTTACTGATCCTATGGGTCCGTTTTCATGGGAGGCAGGGCCGATTTCTTGGGGGTACAGAGTTTGCAAGCACAGCCAGAGTGAAAAGACCCTGGTTCCTTTTGCCCCAAGGGTGGGAAGAGGAAAGTTAGTTCCCGCATTGGCAAGTGAGACACGTGAAAGGTGGGTTGCCTGGAGACTGGTTCTGTTTATTTATTTATTTTGCTTTTTGGGTCACATCCAGCGATGATCAGAGGTTACTCCTGGCTCTGCACTCAGAAATGACTTTTGGCGGTGCTTGGGGGACCATATGGGATGCTGGGAATCGAACCTGGGTTGGCCATGTGCAAGGCAAATGCCCTACCCACTGTGCTATTGCTCCAGCCCCATAAATTGTTTTTTTTTTCCTTTTTCCTTTTTGGGATCTGGAGACCAGTTGGGGTGGGCAAGGGCACCTGGAGCAGGCAGCAGGGTGGGTGGTCGCAGAGAAGCATCCAGAGATGGGGGGCTTAGAATGTCCCGCCAAGTGTACTATGCTCTATGTTGGGGGTGTGGGGTGTTTTAAGTTTGAGGTGAAGGAGAGGGGGCAGCTTTCCTGATGGAAGATAGGTCAGAACCCAGGGCCAGGCCGTGGGCTGGGTGGGAGGAGACGGTGGGGTGCGTCTCTGCCTCCGCTGCACCCCAGCAAGTGTCGACCTCAATCATCTGTGCTCTTTCTGGTTTCCTGAAGAAGCAATTAAGTAATTACGTGGGGTGCTGCTGAGCCCTGGAGCTCGTGCAGAAGTTTCTAGCTGCCCTCAGTGCATGGCACAGACGAGAACCCCTTGGGGGGTCGGGCAAGGTCTGCAGAGGTTTGGGGGTGCTGCAGAGGGGTTTGGGGGTTCCAGGCATCTGACTGGTAGAGGCAGGGGTGCTGCTGTGTATGGCCCAGACAGTCCTCCCGCTCTCCCTCTCCATCGTCACGATGCCCCAAGTGTCTCTGGGGGGGACACCAGGATGAAGGCCCACATCTCCCGGGGGACAGACAGAGTCCAGGGAGGCAGAACCCTGCAGGCACAGGAGTGGGGGTCAGAGGGTCCCCCAAGATGGGGCTCAGTGAGCAGAGAGGGGAGACGTGAAAACAAAGTGAAGACCCCAGGTATGGGGGGGTGGATATGAGGGTGCCATAGGGAACATGGGGGTGAGGTGGTTTTCTGTGTCAGGACCCCCTGCACAAGGTCAGGCTGCACCAAGGTCACGCACGGGGTCACCTCACCCATCTCTGTACAGAACAGGGCGGGTGGGTATCACTCCCCCACCACCCTGGGGAGTTTTCTGGGCTTAAAGGAAAATTCCAGCGGCGGGATGAGACGTTGGGAGTGAGTGACAGCTCATGCGGGGAGTGGCGTGGGTGTGCAGGGTGGGCTGGGGGCCGTCAAAGCTATCACCTCTGATCCCCCGACATCGTGGGGCTCTCTGGCATGCCTGCAGTCATGCTGGGGCACCCCCCCCGCCCCAGTCCTACCCTCAGCACGAGGTCAACCGGGTGCAGGAGTCTGTCGCCTGCCTGGGCGGTGGCAGTGGCTGGCTGGTGCCGGGTGGGTGGTGGCATTTGCAGGTGGGGATGGACGGGGGTGGGGGGCGGTGGCTGTGAGGGGTGGTGGGCGGTGGACGTTTGGAGCAGAAAGGCAAGGGTGTTAGTACATATAGAACTTGGTGGGGGGCAG